TACAGGAATGTAGAATGTATGTGGAATGCATGGAACTCTCATACATTGCTGGTAGGATTGTAAAATGGTATAGTCATGTTGGAAGACAGTTTGATAGTTATTCAAAACGCTGAGCCTAAGGTTAGCCTAAAATTGCCCCAGCAATTCCACTGCTAGGCCAGAATAGGCAAATCCACAGAAACAGAAAGTATAGTAGTGGTTTCGTGGGGCAGGAAGAAGGAGGTGCATGGAAAGTGATTCTTAATGCTTATGTGGTTTCTTGTTGGAGTGATTAAAATGTTCTGAAAGTAGATAGTAGTACTGATTGCACAAATCTATGAATATACTAAAAAGTATAAATTGTGCACTTTATACATTAATGTATTGTATACTTCCGTAAAATTTGGTTAGTATATCAAACCTCCTTCAGGTGGGCACCTTTGTGTGACTAGCACCATGAATGCCTAATAAACATGTATTTCATACGGCAAAAAAGGCATTTGGGCAGTGTTGTGATGGTAAACAACTGGCTGGAGGAGGTGGGAGTAGCCCTTGATTTGTAGCATTTGCCAATGTCCATGGTATAAATATTCCTACTATGCCAACTTCAAGCTACTAGTGTGACATCACTGAACTTGCAGCTGAGAAGAGATAGGCACAATTGATTCTCATTGGGAAGGAGAAAGTGTGAAGTGGCTCTGGCAACCACTAGCTATTGATAATGTAAGTTTAATAGGTACATGGAAAGAATAATAGATAGAGAATCAGAAATACAGGGCACCTGGGTGGCTCAGTCAGTTAAGTGTCCGACTTTGGCTCATGTCACGATCTCACGGTTCATGGGCTCTGTGTTGACAGTGCAGAACCTGCTTGGGATTCTCTCTCTCTCCCTCTATCTCTCTGCCCCTCCCCCACTTGCATATTTTCTCTCTCTCTCTCTCTCTCTCTCTCTCAAAATAAATAAATAAACTTTATATAAAAAAAGAATCAGAAATACACTGTTGCAACATGTACCTCCTGAAAGACTGTTGGGAACTTCTCAAACTTCTGATTTAGACACTGATCTTTAGACATAATGCAGTATATTGAACTCTTGCTTGTTAGGGTGATCAATAATGAACTCTTCACAGAAGAGCGAAAAGCAAAGTTAAATAAATTTAAAAATATCACGCATTGCTATGAAAAACACCCAAAAATAAATACATTTTTGAGGAAATACAAGTTATGGATCAATTTTTACAAAAGTAAAGGGGAAAATATAATAAACAATAACAATGACTTAGTTTCAAAAACTATCAATATATGGTTAATCTGTACTGATAATGCTCTTTTTCTCACCTATACTACCATCCATTTTCCTCCTCCTGATTATTTTGCAAATTCCAGACATCATACTTCGTCTATAATATTTTATTATGTGTCTCTAAAAGAGCTCTATTTTTTTAAGATTTTATTTTTAAGTGATCTCTACACCCAACATGGGCCTCAAACTTACAACCCCGAGATCAAGAGTCACATGCTCCACTGACTGAGCCAGCCAGGCACCTCAAAGAACTCTATTTTTAACATAGCCACAGTAGCCTTACCATACAGAAAATATTAATATAAATTTCTTAATATCATAAAAAATCCAGTTAGTGTTCAGAATTTCCCATTGTCTTATAATTTTTGACAGTTTTTTCAAATAAGGATTCAAATAAAGTGTATAAACTGTGATTGGTTCCATGGAATTTTTTTACAAAGGCTTTTTGTGCTCAAAGAATTTTGAAAAACTTTTTTTTGTACTAAAAATTTCAAATTAATATACAAGAGTATATTGGCTTCAACAATATAGCACATGGCCACATTCACTACACCTACTACCAGAAGTTTTTCAGTCAAATCCTAAACTTCTTATCATTTCATCTATAAATCAACACTGTGCATCTTTAAAATATAAAAATATCTTAAAGTTTAACAAAAACCACAAAACTATTGTCATGTCTTAAAAAATATCAATATTTCTTTGATATTATTAAATATCCAGTTAGTGTTCATATTTTTCCAACTTTCCCCAAATTTTTTAGCAGTTGGTTTATTCAAGTCAACATCCAAATAAGGTTTACATATTAAATTAGCTTGTTGTCTCTTAAGTATCTTTTTATCTATAGGTCTTTTTCATCTTTTTTTTAAGACACATGATACTTTGTCCTATAGATGTATATTTTAGATTTTGCTGTTTATATCCTTGTGGTGTTATTATATTTGATCTGATTCAGGTTAGGTTTTTTTCCCCCCAAAATACCTGAGGTAGTGATGTGTGTTCCTATTACATCTCAACAAGAGGCACAAATGTCTGGCTATTTCTCTTTTTGTGATATTAAGATTAATCAGTGGTTCAGGTTAATTAATTAGATGGTCAGTATAAGTATTCTTTTTTTTTTTTTTAATGTTTATTTATTTTTCAGAGAGAGAAAGAGCATGTGCATGAACAGGGGAAGGACAGAGGGAGGAACACAGAGAAACCCAAGCAGGCTCTGCACTGTCAGCACAGAGCCTGATGCAGGGCTCGAACTCACGACCTGTGAGATCATGACCTGAGCTGAAATCAAGGGTCAGAAAATTAACTGACTGAGCCACCCAGGTGCTCTGGTCAGCTTAAGCATTCTATCAGCTTTTTATGTAAGGGTGTTAACAACCATTGATAATCACTGCCTATATCCATTATTTCACTGGAGGTTGCAAAAGGGTAATATTCTAACACTATCATTTCTTTTTTATTTTTTTAGCTGAAATTTTTTAGCTGAAATTTTCTCTATAGAGAAAATCTTTCTTTTACCAGTGATTTATTCCAAGGTATAGTTAATTTGGTAAAGATAGGATAAATGCTTGATTCTTTCTAAGTATTTAATATTTTCATGATGGGCTAGTTCCCTGGCATTTTTCAAAGGCAACCAAACAAGTTAAAAACTTTTTATTATTATTATTAGGAGCATATGAACTTTAATACATTTGATATGTTGTAATCCAAATTATTTAGCTTTTTGATCTCAAATTGATCAAAAAATGACAAATCTGTGGGTCAGTGGTCAAGTTGGATCCTAAGTTTTTCTTCCTTCCTTCCTTCCTTCCTTCCTTCCTTCCTTCCTTCCTTCCTTCCTTCCCTTCCTTCCTTCCTACCTTTTTCTTCCTTCCTACATTTTCTTTGTTTCTTTCTTTCTTCTTTCTTTCTTTCTTTCTTTCTTTCTTTCTTTCTTTCTTTCTTTCTTTCGAGAGCAAGTGAGCCAGGGAGAGGAGCAGAGGGAGAGATAGAGAGAATCTTAGGCAGGCTCCACGCTCAACACAGAGCTTGACTGTGGAACCAATCCTACACCACTAGGATCATGACTTGAGCCAAAGTCAAGAGTTTTACACTCAACTGATTGAGCCACCTTGGTGCCCCACTCCTAAGTTCTTTTAGTATGATTTTTGATAACTTTGGTGTAATAAGATGTCCATGCTTATCTTGCACTTTTCCTGTTCCAAACTTGCAAGGAACCCTGGTTCCTGTTAGTGGGAAATGGTTTTCAGAGACCATAATCTAGGTGTTTGGGGTGCTCATTGCCACTGAGTTGGTTATTGCTTCTAAGCCTTTTCAGTGGTCTACAGATTTTTTTAATGTGCAATGGGGGAGGGGGGAATCTGAGCAATAAGATTTAGTCTGAATAGAATAGGTGGAAATTAGAGATATGTCATCTTTCTACCATGTACCATCATTTTGTCTTTTTAAAGATGCATGAAATCTATTTTTTTATTAAAAAATTTTTAATGTTTATTTATTACTGAGAGACAGAGCGAGACAGAACATGAGCATGGGAGGGGCAGAGAGAGGAGGAGACACAGAATCCGACGCAGGTTCCAGGCTCTGAGCTGTCAGCACAGAGCCCGACGTGGGGCTCGAACTCACGAACCGTGAGATCATGACCTGAGCCGAAGTCGGTCGCCCAACCGACTGAGCCACCCAGGCACCCCAAGATGCATGAAATCTTTAAAAAAAATCTTAATTAGCTTTAATGTTTCAGATTTATTTGGACTTGAAAAATGAATTAGAAATTATGAAATTACTTAGCCGACCTTAATATTTTTTAATAATGTTTATTTATTTTTTTAATATATGAAATTTATTGTCAAATTGGTTTCCATACAATGTTTATTTATTTTTGAGAGAGAGCAAGCAAGTGGGGGAGGGGCAGAGAGAGAGGGAGACAAGATCTGAAGCAGGCTCTGTGCTAACAGCAGGGAACCTGGTGTGGGGCTCCAACTCACAAGCCTCGAGATCATGACCTGAGCTGAAGTTGGATACTTAACTGACAGAGCCACCCAGGCAACCCTGACCCTTAACATTTTAAACCACTTACAATAAACTTCGTGGATAGCAATTTTTCTATTAAAACATTTTTAAGTTATTATAGAAACAAGCTCTTCTGCTGTTAAGCCTCAGGCCACTTCTTAGCCTCAGACTAGCTAACTGTGCTCTCCTTTCCCTATTTTTTTTTTTTTTTTTACATTCCCCAGGGATTTATTTGGCTGTAATTTTCTTTTTAAAGGCCTTCCTCCAAGTACTGAGTGGAAAGAGGAATGAGAGAGTCTTTTGGAAATATTTTATATCTTGCTCTGGGTGGCAGTTATGTGAGTGTTCACATATGTAAAAATTCAAATTGTATAGTTAGATTTTTTTTAACATTTATTTATTTTTGAAAGAGAGAGATAGAAAGCAAGTGGGGGAAGGGCAGAGAGAGAAGGAGACACAGAATCTGAAGCAGGTTCCAAGCTCTGAGCTGTCAGCACAGAGCCCAATGTGAGGCTCAAATCCACAAACCGGGAGATCATGAGCCAAAATCGGATGCTCAACCGACTGAGCCACCCAAGCGCCCCTACCTAGGTTTTAATTTTTTTTATATTTTTTTTAATTTTTATTTTTTTTGTTTTTCTTTAGAGTTCTATTTCTATTCTTGTATTCAAAAAATCTTCCCTGTTTATGTTCAAAATAAACAACTATATCGTTACTTCCTGTGTTTTACTTCAATTGCAGTATACTTGGAATATAGATGTACTTGGAAAAGTCAAGAGTACATCAAAACTACTACAAGAGTTTTGAAAATTACAGTTAATGTTTCAGAAGAAATCTGCTCAGGTTTGCAGGTTCTTTATCTTTCCATTAAAAGATGAAAAAAGGCCATCCTAGCCATGCTTCACATTTAATCAGATTCTTCAATATTAATGCATAAAAGCTTTGGAATAAATCAGTCTCAACCAGGAACAGTTTGTGTTAGAAAAAACTATAGTGAAAGCTAACATTCAATTTTCCATGTTTGGAATGTCTGAGAAAGCATTTTTTGACTATTAAAAAAGTTTATTTAACAAAAAAGTTCACTATGAAAATGCATGACCTGATTTTTATATTGTAGTAAAACTGGTGCTATGAAGGGGACACGTGGAAGCAGTTGGTTTCTCCTGGTGAACACACCTATTGTTTATACTCGTTCCAAGGCTTCTAACATGATGATACTATTTCCTCAAATTACCACCATTCCAATATTGTTCTGTTGCCCACTAGTAGCCATCTCCACACGTTCATCTATCACAAGATGCATAAAGGGATCGAACCCCCGCAATATTCCTTGGACATATCTGCCACCATTTAATTTCAATGATAATTTCTTGTCCATAAATTTTTTCAACTCGGGAGGGTGAGCTTTGCTCATGATGCTTACTCGGCGAGCTCAAAGATGCCTCCAAACAGAATTTGTGGAGTCCTTCACGCTCCCTACCTAGGTTTTTAATATGGATTCCCAGTTATCCCAGCACCAGCACACAGTGATTTGCTTTCAGGAGGCACTCAGTTTATTTGAACTGAACCATGATGCAATTCAAGTCTCAGCATAAGGACCTGACCTTCTATAAGTGCTTGATAGGGATTTGATATTGTTGATAGTGAGGACTACTCGTATATTCGGAACCATCTTCTGGGCCAAAAAAACATTTTGCCTAGAAGTTAGGTACATAATAATTAACTTAAAATTACAGTTACTCCAAATGAGTACTTTCTCATTTTGTTCTTGAGTTTTTTTGTTTGTTTGTTTTTAAGGATATTCCGTAAATAATTTAATGGGAGATAAAATATGTAACCACTTTTGCCAACTATAGTCATGTCATAATGGCAATTAAATTTTATATTAAACATTATTCAATATCATAGGACAATGACATTTTTCCTGAGATTTTTACCTCAAAATGGAAGATTTGGTCAGGAAATGGAACATGTCTTCTCTTACAATGGGTCAGTTTCCCTACTTTGGTGTTATCATCAAAATATTGGTTGCAGATAACTATGCTGTGATGTCTCTCACTTAACTTCCACCTATCCACTTCTTTTTTGTTTTTAAGTTTATTTTTTTTTATTTATTTTTTTCAATGTTTATTTATTTTTGGGACAGAGAGAGACAGAGCATGAACGGGGGAGGGGCAGAGAGAGAGGGAGACACACAGAATCGGAAACAGGCTCAAGGCTCTGAGCCATCAGCCCAGAGCCTGACGCGGGGCTCGAACTCACGGACCGCGAGATCGTGACCTGGCTGAAGTCGGACGCTTAACCGACTGCGCCACCCAGGCGCCCCATGTTTATTTTTTTTTAAAAGGTTTTTTTTTTAAATCTTTATTTAGTTTTGAGAGAGCGAGCAAGCAGGGGAGGGGTAGAGAGACAGAGGGGACACAGAATCCAAAGCAAGCTCCAGGCTCTGAGCTGTCAGCACAGAGCCTGACGTGGGGCTCGAACTCACGGAAGCAACTTCATGACCTGAGCTGGAGTCAGATGCCCAACCAACTGAGCCACCCAGGTGCCCTAAGTTTATTTTTGAGAGGGAGAAAGGGAGCCTGGGGGAGGGGCAGAAAGAGACAGAGAGAGAAAGAATTCTAGGCAGCCTCCATACTGTCAGTGCAGAGACCGACTTGAGGCTCAATCCCACAAACTGTAAGATCATGACCTGAGTCAAAATCAAGAATTGGACGCTTAATGAACTGAGCCATCCAGGCACCCCTCCTTTTCTTTAAGTGAGCTTGCCCATGCCTCCTGCTCCAAGAGTTTGCTCACACATAATATTGCTCTTCAGTCCCTAGTCAATTGGACCAGGAGTAGATTATGCTGGGCTAATTGGTTTTTCTCTCCTCAGAATTTGGAATTGAATTTCTTTAGATTGCTTGAGCTGGAGATAATACATAGCTTGTGTGGGTATGCATTGCATGTGCATTTGTACAGGTGTGGTGATGGGGCAGTTGTCTAGGGCCCTGCTATACCATGTGGTAAAACTTGACTCTTGAGAAACTTGCCATTCTGAACAGTAGAAATACACACTGCCCCATTACTCAGCTGACACTCCCTTCTCTCAGCTTTACCCACTTTCTCATGTCTTTTTTTAAATTTTAAAACTTTTATTTAGTATTTATTTTTAAGTAAACTCTATGCCCTATGTGGGACTTGAACTCATGACCTTGAGATCAAGACATGCATGTTCTACTGACTGAGCCAGCCAGGCACCCCTCTCATGTATCTTTTTCCTTTTTTTTTTTTTTTTAATGTTTATTTGCTTATTTATTTTGAGAGAGAGTGCAAGTAGGTGCGGGGCAGAGAGAGAGGGAGTGAGAGAATCCCAAGCAGGCTCTATTCCAATGTGGGGCCCATCTCACAACCGTGAGATCACGACCTGAGCCAATACCAAGAGTCAGATGCTCAACCAACTGAACCACTCAGGTGCCCCTCATGTCTCTTCTTCTATTCCCTAGCAGTATCAGGTGACTGGCTTAGCAAGTTTTAGACCAGAGGCAATCACTGATTCTCAACTTATTGAAGCATGTATTGAAGCATGTTCAGAGGGTTCAAACACCTGTACTTTTTGAATGATTCTTTTGGTAACTCCCTTCCTGGTCTTGAGGAAGGAGGAAATTCTCTACCCTCCCTCACAATGTAAGGAGAGATAATACCCTCTCTTTAGAATACTGTATTCCCTCCAAAATACAACTTTTATTGTTTCTGTCTTCTCTTATGTGAGAGAGGGGGAAATGGTGGTGGTAGTGCGAATTTTCTCAACTAGTACCTCTCACTAGACCCAATGGGGGAGGGATAGACTCCAAAAGCTGATGCTTCCTCAAACACAGAATGGGATGTGGGAGGGTAATCTTTTTTTTTTTTTTTTAAGTGATCTCTACACCCAATGTGGGGCTTGAATTCATGACCTTATGATCAAGAGTCCCATGCTCCACTGACCAGCCAGGTGTCCCAGGGGAGGGTAGTCTTTAGTACCATGTATTCTTAGCTGTGGACTCAAAAACAGGACCCTATTTCACCTAAAATGAAATAATCCCTGACACAATGAATTGAGTTGGATTCCTTCTAAATTCTGTTTCATACAATTAAAGCAGAAGTGCAACATTTGTGGTAGAGACTTGCAAATACGTGTATAAGACTAATATTACAAATCATTCAGAATTGGTTGTTTTTTTTAATTCTCTGGTTCATTACTATTTACAGGGCATTTTAATATATATTATGTCATTTAATTAAATGCCCAGGATGTTGCTGACCCATAATCCTATGGGATTGAGACCATGAACATTCCAGACCATCCCTGATATCCCATTTTACTTTCCTATGATCTTTCCTTCTCAAGGCACACAGCCTCCTTCCCAGAGCCACAGGATTTCTAGTCATAGCTGATCCTAGACTAAAGCCTAGTTCAGGAAAGGAACATCTTTTCACCTATTTTAATCTCCTATTAATTTGACATTTAGGTTCTTAAAAAGCACAATTTCATTTGGAATGCACTTCAGGATTTTTGTACCATCTGCATGTCTACCTTTATCTTTGTTACATATAAAAAGAGTGCATTTTAAAATTTAAAGTCCATAGTATAATGTTGATTTTCACTAGCAAGGGAAAGTTAAATAGGTGGCCATGGAAGGGGCCCAGTGGAATTCCTGCACTTCTTGACTCTTCCCTGATTCTGTTTCTTCCTCTTTATAATTTTTATAATCTTTGCTAGTGTGGCATTTTGGAATATGGTTGAAGCTAAAAGTCTGTGGATTTAGTTAGACAAAGAGATAATAGCCAGGAATAGAAAGAGGCACTTACAATCCTCCTGTAATGCTTGGGGTCCCTTCAAGATTTATAATTCTACATAACACGTTAGGAGAAAGAATATCCCATTAGCAGAAGATGTTATCTTTTACAATTTAAAGAGGCTGAAATACTTTTGTGACTGAAATATTTAACTCCAGTTAGGTGGAGATTGGGGAATAAAAACAGACATAGCTAAATAACTGTCAGAACTCAATAATTTTTAGTTTGCTTTTTTAAAATTTTTTATTTTGAGAGAGAGAGGAGAGGGAGAGAGAAAAATCCCAAGCAGGCTCCAGGCTGATAGTTTGGAGCCTGACATGAAGCTTGATCTCACAAATCATGAAATCATGATCTGAGCCAAAATCAGGAGTCAGATGCTCAGCCGACTGAACCACACAGATTCTCCTCTAGTTTTATTTATGTGTATATGTTTAATGTGTTCCAGAGAATGAAATAAGTAATATCTTTTTTTTTTTAAGATTTTATTTTTAAGGAATCTCTACACCCAGTGTGTGACTTGAATCCGCAACCCCAAGATTGAGAATTGCATGCTCTACCAACTAAGCCAGCCAGATGCCCCTAAGTAATATCTTCTAAAAGGAAGAAATGTGAGGGGATTCTATCCCCCACCCCTTCTCTGTCTCTCTCCCACTTGCTCTCTTTCTCTCTCTCTCTCTCTCTCTCTCTCTCTCTCTGTATGTCTCTCAAAATAAAAACCCATTTTTTTTTTAAAGGAAGAAATGTAAAAGGGCAAAGGGCTACCATACTGAAGCTATCACACTGCTTCTCCACACTTATTAAACATTATCCACACTTACTTAAACATTATCTGCAACGTTAGAGGACAAATAGTTTACCTTTAATTTTCTTCACCCTAAATGCCTTTCTTTTTCAAATTTCTACTCAAGAAACTTTGATCTTTTCCTTCATCAGATCCCCTTCTTCCATATCTATTACACAAAAATTTGAAAAACCATTCTAGAAATTTTATGTTAATTTTATTACTTTCTAAAAAATTAGCAAATAGATTACTATTAATTATTATATAGAAAAAAAATGAACATACAAAATCTTGTTTGGTTCTCTTTGCAGTTTTTTTCTTTTTTGAGAGAGAGAGAGAGCAAGAGAGCATGTGTGCACACAAGCAGGGGAGGGGCAGAGGGAGAGAGAGAATCTTAAGCAGGCTCCATGCCCCACACAGGGTCCAAGGTGGGGGGCTTGATCCCACAATCTGAGCCGAAATCAAGAGTCAGACGCTTAACTGACTGAGCCACCCAGGCACTCCTCCCTTTGCAGTTTTAAATTACGAAGATACAACTCATGTTCTCTATCTGAGGAAATAGCATGATAGTAATGAAACAGCAAACTCTTCAAAATATGAATAACTTGATTTATTCTGATGACTATAAAAGTGAATAGACTTTCTCAAGATCTAATTCTCTTGAATTTAAGTTGTATAAAACCATCTTCAACTGGCTAACATTAAGGTTTTACACTTGAGTAATAAAACAGCTCTAATGTGAATTTGCAGTGCCTCATTAACTTCCAAAAAACTGTAGAAGCATTGTTGACCAAAATTAATCCCAAGTAAATTAAGAGTTTACATATAAAAAATAATTGAGAATTTAGAAGAAATTATAAATAAATATTCATTAAATGTTTGGATCTGTATTTT